TTATACGTGCCCATACTCTCTGATTCCTTGAGCTTAATGCTTACTGGTTTATAAGAGTCCTGCTGTAAAGTTCACTGTCGCAGACACTCGCAGTTTAACATCATCATCGTCATCAAGTGCCTTGCCAGCTGGCGTAGGCGTTCATGCGTTGTCACAGATCTCGGTATTTGGTGTTCTGGATCAATTACACTGATGATATTCCTCCATGCCACTTTCTTTAGCCATCCACCATTTGTTCTCTTGGTCTGCCTCTTCTACCACTGATCTTTCCAGTCACAATATTTTCCAGTGCTCCCTTTCTCATCACATGACCAAAGAAATTTGTTTGTCTCCTTCTCATTGTTGAATATAATGTTCTACTTTCATTAGCCATTTCCATTCAATCATTGTTGGTTATTCTGGCAGTCCAAGGTTTTCTCAACATTCTTCTCAACAACCCCATTTCAGTTCAACACCAGATAAAAATGAGAACAACTGGTCTCCAAGTTCACACAACAAAGTCTCAACCAGAAGGTTCAGCCGGCACACACTGCGCTCAGAGAAAAGGCAAGACGGAAACACAATCAGACTACATCCGGCACCATTAGTACTATAACTCTGCGCTGGCTGCTAAAGATGAGGAGGATGTATGCATGGGAATGCCACGAGTGCTGGGATGTCAATTCTTGACTCAGCTCAGCTCAACAACAGAGTCTCCAGTACATATACAAGACAGCTTTCTCAGTCTTCAGTTTATCAACCTAGCATTGCCACATCGGTATAAGTAACCCAGCTTATTATCTGATTCTATCTCCAAGGAGGGTTTATTTGAAACCTGTTCTAATGGCTTCAGTTGCAAAGCATGAAAGAAACGGAACGTTGCAGAATTAAACAAGGCATTCATTTTGAATGAATTTTGCATGATGAGTTTGGTCTGAAAAAGTCACTGTAGGCGTTCAGGAAAGCATTCCTTTACTCAGGTAGGTGACTAATGCTGCCCTTAAAAAAAGGATTGTGGTTGCTCACTGAATCTAGTGTTGACAGTGTTCATTACATGTTGCGCACTGTGAGTGAACACACCTTCTAATATTGCAGTTTCTTATAAATAACTTTTTGAACTATTTCAGCAGACATATCTAATTTGTTCGCTAGACACTTGCTTTGACAGCGGTTGACCTCTATTGCTGCATCAGTTTCGGGGATACTTTTATCTGTTGCAGCAGTATTCGCTTGACCCCTCATTTCTGGTACAATAGTGCCCAAACTGTCACCATAGTTTTCAATGCACATTTGTTACTGTACACTGTCTGCATTCTTCGACGAATGTCTGCTGGTGGAAATCTTTCAAGTGAAAGAAAACGAATCACTTCTCTTTGAGTGTCTTTTGGTGGATTTGGGATCAACCTGACCATGTTCTCAATAGTCAGAAACAGAACGATAAGCCTGTACTGGATTATTCATTGGTCAGTTCGTATCACATGACTGATATGACTTTGTTAAACACACACAGTTATGAATGGTGCAGCGCAAACAGTTTCAGATGGAAGCATTAAGTAATAATGCTTAGCACTGTCTATCATGTGGTTTAAATCTGCTGTATTTATCGAGGCCGAAACAAGTCTTGCCATCTTCCTCTGTGTTTCTTTCCCGAATTACCCGAGGTCATTCTTGCCTCAGCTCATTTACATCTTGTGAATCATATGATCTTCATGGGTTCTGTGCTTTCTTCATGGTAATTTCTGGGTTTTGACCGTCAACCACAAATCAGGCATGCTCCATGCAGTGTGGCAAGCATCGCTTCAGACCTCCTGGGTAGTTAGTGTTCTTTGGATACTTTCTCTAGGTCATGGTGTGTTGGAAAATGAGCTGGCAGATAGACTGGCCAGTTCTGCACCTCTGGGTGGTGATTTGATTTATGACAAGCTGGATGTTGTCAGGGCCCTTTGTGAGGGAGTGAACAGTGCAAGTGCACAGATAGATCATTATGGTCTCAGGAGAATGGTGCTGCAAGGAGTTACCAGGGGATCTGGCAGACGCTCAACACTCAGGGAAAAGGTGTGATGGATATACAATCAGACGGTTACTGGTACCATCGGATTTGGAACTCTTTGCTTGCAGCTAAAGATAGGGACAGAGTGCTCATATGAGTGTCCCCAGTGCTGTGATGTTGATTCTCAATTCTTCTTCTTCTTCTTCGCGTTCACCAGCTGTAAACTCTGGCGGAAGGTTCTGGTTGCTCGTCCACTACTGAACTGCAGTCCTGCTCCAGAACCTGAGTGTTGCAGTTTTACAGATCTCATTCTCTTGAATACAGACTGTTGGTTCCTTGCCTCTCTGGCAGATGTACTCCGACTTCAAAGGAAGCTCCCCAATTAGTCGACTCTTACAACATTCTTTTGGGGAGGCAGTGGGTCTATTCTTGTTTCCCCACGATGGAGCCCTGGAACCCACATGGGGGAATTCTCAATTCAACATTCAACCACAGAACAGGTCATGACTGTTGAGATGTTGTTGAGAACCGCATTCATAATGGCAGAAGTTGTATTAAGGTTTGATTCTATGACAAAGTCTGGGCATGGCGTCGGCCTAGAGTGTTGGAGGTGCAAGGTTCAGGCCCTGGTGAAGGCTGGGATTTTTTCACGTGGACTTCTAGTAATTTTCCCTGGTCTCTGGGTAGTGAGATCGGATACTCGTATGTATTGTTGGGCACATAAACAAATCCCTTGGCAGTTGGAAATAAAAAAGAGTAGCCTAACGGCACTGCCTTAGCAAAATTTGGAATTTAAAATCTACCCAAATTATTTCAGGATTTTTGCCAGTTCTACGGAGTTCATGCGCTGCGCTGAGATTCTTCAGACTTAAGACTTGAGTCAGAAGTAGAACGGAGCACTTGTGGGTTACTACCCTTGTGCCATGATGTTGTTCCTTTGTTTAAACCTAAAGTCGTAGCTAATGTTGTATTGAGATGTTGATTCTCTGACATAGTAATGGCATATGTTGTATTTAGATGTTGATTCTCTGACATAGTCATGGCATATGTTGTATTGAGATGTTGATTCTCTGACATAGTCATGGCATATGTTGTATTGAGACGTTGTAGAGTCACTGACTCAGTCATAGTGCAAATTGTAACAAGATGTTGATTCTCTGACATAGTCATGACATATGTTGTATTGAGATGTTGATTCTCTGACATAGTCATTGCATATGTTGTATTGAAATGTTGATTCTCTGACATAGTCATGGCATATGTTGTATTGAGATGTTGATTCTCTGACATAATCATGGCTAATGTTGTATTGAGATGTTGATTCTCTGACATAGTCATGGCATATGTTGTATTGAGATGTTGATTCTCTGACATAGTCATGGCATATGTTGTATTGAGATGTTGATTCTCTGACATAGTCATGGCATATGTTGTATTGAGATGTTGATTCTCTGACATAGTCATGGCTAATGTTGTATTGAGATGTTGATTCTCTGACATAGTCATGGCATATGTTGTATTGAGACGTTGTAGAGTCACTGACTCAGTCATAGTGCAGGTTGTATTGAGATGTTGATTCTCTGACATAGTCATGGCATATGTTGTATTGAGATGTTGATTCTCTGACATAGTCATGGCTAATGTTGTATTGAGATGTTGATTCTCTGTCATAGTCATGGCATATGTTGTATTGAGATGTTGTAGAGTCACTGACTCAGTCATAGTGCAGGTTGTATTGAGATGTTGATTATCTGATGTGCAGATGTTGTATTGAAAAGTTGTTCATCCATTTTAACTCACTCAGAGACTGGGCTATGATAGCTTAACTCCTGCATTCTTCTTCTTTTCTTCTTCTGCCTTTCTAGACCCCAATGGAGCGTAGGTTTTCAACCAGCGCTTGGCAACCTGTTCTAGCCTTGTCTATCGCATGCAGCTCCCCCCCTGTCCTCCCCACCTTTTTTAACTTCACTCTTTACATTGTTATGTTCCATACCCAACTGTAGACAAACAGCTTGTTGTTCTTGTTGTGGCTCCGCCTGCTCCCTCTCTCTCATGGTTCATTAATTTAAACTGATTTTAGTTGAAAGGACAGCAGCTAGTCAGACCATGAAGCCAAATAATCCAGTTGACTGGACAAAATATGTGAAAAATAAAGTGTTTACAAGTACAGGTAGAGAACCTAGTGGGGGGGGGAGGGTCACTGCAGATCAACAAACGGTGCAACAACTGTAAAGGGGCAGAGCCACATAGAGGTATGAGAGCCGACGCTTAGCTCCAGCCCACATTGCCGATCGGCTGGCTCATTGGCTCACCGGTAGACATCTTTGCTCTTTTCAGGGCTCTTGGTGGCATGCATTGCTAAGCCATTTTATATGGTGCACATTGTCTGGTCACAGTTGTAACCTAAAGCTCCCCGATCCTGGTTGAACATGTTGATTTTGTTAAATGTTTTGCAGCAAAGTACCTACTCACCTCTTAGCTCCAGCAGGATGGGTTGTGAAGAACATAGTGGTCCCCCCCCCCCCTCCCCCGCTCTCCCGCCTAAAGTTTTCAAGCTATTGGTTGCATACTATACATCATCATCATGTAGCAGGTTCTTTGCAAAACGTCGCTCTCATCACGGTCTGCCTGTAAGAAACTCGGTCTTTTGCCAGTTCTCCCGCCTCATGTACTTTCATACTCAAGGAGTCACTTATATCCTGTGCCCATCTTCGTGTCGGTCGGCCCTTGCCCTTCCTTCCTGGTACCATGCATTTTGCTATAATTTTTTCCAGCTTTCAGCATGCTATACACACGTACATTCTTCCTCACACCAACACTCACTCAGACACACATCCAGATGTCCCTCCCAATTTACACATAAACACTCCCTTCCCCATTTTTTTTTCTTTCTTCTTCCCCTCCTCTTTCTTTTTCTTCTTGTATTTCTGCTTTTTCTTGTATACCTCCTCCTCCTTTTTCCTTCCTCTAGTCTCCAACACCTGTCACACAGAGCATCTCAGCTGATCTTGCCTCTCTCTGTTGCCTCCAGAACCCGCAAGGTCAGGAGAAAGACAAGGTTGCAGAAGAAATCAAAAAGACAGACGGGAATGTGAACAAAGAGAAGTCCGCATTTAGACAAGAGATGGAGGAGAGGGACAGAGTTCTCACTGACAGACGTGAACAACAGCAGCAGCGGCTGCAGCAGCAGCAGCAGCAGCTTGGAAGAAATGAGCAGCAGAATTTGTTAGAGGCTCAAAAGGAGGTAGGTAACCTCTTATACCTGGAAGGTAACCAGCTCCCTCATGTCTTCTCTTGTTCTTTTTCTTAGTGTTCACCGAGTGTAAACAGTGGAAATATGTGGTTGTTCATCCACTTCTGCACTTTGGTCGAAGAAGAGGGTGGAAAGACAACAACAAAAAGACAGGAGTCAATTATTATATGCTTATTCAACAAGTGGAAGATCCAAAAAAAGATGGCTGGTTTAGTGAGCTAGTGCTTCTGTTGATTCACCTCCATAACCCCAGAGGGTCAAGGGTTATGTTTTGTTGTCTTACCTGTATATTATCTCTCCTCCATCTTCTTGGTTTAATCACCATCTACTCCCATTAAACTCTTTTGAATATGCCATTTTTTTTTTTTTTTTTTTTGTCGTCTGCTATTCTCTCTGTATGCCTCAAGTCTATTAGCCCTCATGATAACCTAATTACTTTTGATTCAAACATGTTTGAATTTCATTGTTGCTTGCTTTATGGTGCCATACTTTGGGGTGCCATACTTTGGGGTGCCATACTTTGGGGTGCCATACTTTGGGGTGCCATACTTTGGGGTGCCATACTTTGGGGTGCCATACTTTGGGGTGCCATACTTTGGGGTGCCATACTTTGGGGTGCCATACTTTGGAGTGCCATACTTTGGGGTGCCATACTTTGGGGTGCCATACATTGGGGTGCCATACTTTGGGATATAGTCGCTGGTAGAAAGAGCCGCATTTCGTAAGAAAGTTCCCAGTATATTTTCTACGAGCACTAAGTAAGCCACTGTCGGTTTGCTGGACCAGACAACGTGTTTTCAAACTTCCTAGAAGGTCACACTTGAGCTAGACTGTCACATTCGGACTAGTTTAACACAACTTCTACTCTAGGATGTCCGAAACTGACCCCGGTTCGATGCTGGCCGATAAATAGACATCCCCTTGCCTTGACATCGTGACCGAAAGTAAGTGTTGGTAAAGAAATACTATATTGAACAGTGTTTCTCCCCTCCCCCTTCTTTCCTCCCCCCCCCCCCCCCCCCCCCCCCAGTTATAACAGGTTTGTTCTGTAATATTTAGTGACATCGGTCCAGTGATTTAGTTGTCAGATCATCATCTGTTTCATCTGTTCCGGTATATGCTCCAGGGCTCCATTTTTGTCAGGGGTGGAGAGACCTATCCCCCCCCCCCCCCTTTGCCCTAACAAGCATACCATACATCGCAACTGATTAGGGGTATTTCTTTTAAAGTCGGGAGTGCTCCTGCCAGAGAGACTAGGAACCAACAGTCTGCATACAAATAAGTCAGATCTGTTAAAGGAATGTGTACGCAAAACTCAAATTCCGGAAGAAGATCACAAAGTGCAGAAGTGAACAAACAACCAGAACTTTCAGATGGAGTTTACAGCTGGTGAATGCCAAGAAAAAGAAGAAGTAAGGAAAGTTGAAGAGGAAGATCTTGGATAGAGGCACTGAAGATAGGGTCGTAGTACTTATGGGAGTGTTCTCAGTGCTATAATGTTGATTCTTAAATCAACATTCAACATCACTGACACATCAGGCTAAACCCATATAATTACCGACCACTCGGAGCACAATACAAAAGTTAGTCAGGGTAAACATTATGTTGGCTACCTTTACTTCCCAGGATTTTTCCTGCTATCTGTTTTAGACTTGTTAGATCTTGGAGGCTAGGTCAGTTTTAACTTTTTCAGTACCAGTCAACACACGGTGTGTAAATGACTTTATCCCTTGATTTCACTACACAGCATAATATGCTGTTTATATTTTGTATCTGGTCAGAACATGCTAAATAGATCTGGCTTCCCAACATGGTCACTGATTGATTGGCACCTTTCTGTCTTTCCAGACTATAGATTATACTGTGCTATGAGGAAGAATGGGACTCAACAGTCCATGGTGAAGATGAGTGTGACTAGCAAGACCCGCCCACATAAAGAAAAGTCTTCCACAGTTATAGCATGGGATTTCAGAACCATTGTTGTCAACATTTTTCATGAGTGTGTTTCTTCTCAGACGCTTAGCTCTCATCCTTTCTGCAATAATTTCTTCCTTCATTCTCACGTCCTTCCCGATGTGCCCCCTCCACACAACATGGTCCATGGCATTTTGTTCCCACGAGTCCACCTCAATACCTGTATCATTTATGCCCTGCTTGTGCACATCTTTATATTGTAGTAGAGCAGTTTCACTACCACTGTGTATATTGCCACTTTAACTCTAATTAATTCATTTTTCCTCCCTAGACCTTATGATACTGGAAGTGTTAAAAAAACGTGTCCAGTGCAGGTGCTATTCCAACATTTAAGATGTGTTGCTGTAATTGTTTTATGTCTGTTTCCATTCCAGCAAAAGAGAGAGCAACAGTGGCTGGCCGATGTGCGCAGGAAGAGCCAAGAAGCACTTGCTGAGAGACAGCAGAGGCTGAATTGGCAACAGCAGGATTTGCCACAGCAGAATCCTCAGGGCCTGCCAAACTTGAACCAGCCTCTTCACGATCACAACAAGCCATATCAGGTGGCTCACCTGGATGAAGCTCATCCGCAGCCGAACTTGATGCAGGCCACAAGTAAACCTGCTCTGGCAAACAATGACAACAGTAACTTAGATAAGCAGAAAAGTAATGGGGATAATTTAAAGAACAGTAATTTCAATGCAGGGGCATTTGCCGTGAAAGAGGTTTTGAATGGAACTCTGCAGCGAGAACCTTCAGCTCAGGGTGTTGCCCCAGTAAACCCCGGAGAGCTCCAGAGTCAGATCAACCAGAACAAGGAGATTCAGCCTCTTCCTTTGGAAGACAAGCAGCAGCTTCCCGTTAACAGACCAAACAACACTATGCCCACAAAGAGCCGAGAACAACCACCACCTGGTGTAGTACCAGCTGATAATCCTCAGGTGCAGAACAGAGAAGGAATCACCCTGAATCCTTTAGTTGGAATTGTTAATATTCAGAAAGTGAATGTCCCTTCAGGTGGGGACAATGGTCAGAATGTGCAGGGGCAGAATAATGTCCACAACAATGCCCCGAATAATATCCCAAATGTGCTGGTTAACAATAACTGGTCAAAGAATGATTTTAACAATGCCAATCAGAATGGTAATGGCCAACCGCAACAGCCGCAGCAACAACAACAACAGCAGCAGCAGCAGCAGCCTCAGATTGGAGGTATCAACCTCAGCTGGGACTGGGAGGATTTTTCTATAATGTTCAACTCTTATGGAGCAGCAGAGATGAAAGTGAGGCGGTCACCTCATCCTACCACTGGGGAGCCGTGGCCATTGCCGCAGTACTACTCAAAGAAGGATGATAAAGTGAGCAATTTTTAAATGGTCTATATGGTCTTTTCCATCACCATTCCTGTAATCAGCAACATCTTTATCCTGTCGTCAGCAGCATCTTTATATCCATCATCAGCAGCAGCAGTATCATTATACCTATCATCAGCAGTGTCATATCCCCATCATCATCAGCAGCAGTATCATTATCCCAGTCATCAGCAGCACCAGCATCATTATACCCATCTTCGGCAGTATCATTATCCCCATCATCAGTAGCAGCAGTATCATTATACCCATCGTCAGCAGTGTCATATCCCTGTCATCAGCAGCTGCAGTATCATTATCCCATCATCCATCATCAGCATCATTATACCCATCATCTGCAGTATCATTATCCCCATCATCAGCAGCAGCAGTACCATTATCCACATTATCAGCAGTAGCATCATTATCCCCATCATCAGCAGCAGCAGTATCATTATCCACATTATCAGCAGCAGAATCATTATTCCCATCATTAACTTCATCATCATTATCTCCGACAGCAGCAGCATTCCCATCATCAGCAGCAGTATCATTATCCCTTTCATCAGCAGCAGCAGCAGCATCATTATCCCCATCATTGGCAGCAGCAGCATTATTCCATCATCAGCAGCAGCAGCATCATTATTCTCATCAGCAGCAGCATTATTATTCCATTCATCAGCAGCATCATCATTATCTCCATCAGCAGCAGCAGCATCATTATCCCCATCATCATCAGTAGCAGCATTATTCCCATCATCATCAGCAGCAGCATCATTATCCCTATTATCAGCAGCAGCAGCATTATTTCCATCATCATCAGCAGCAGCATCATTATCAACATCACAGCAGCATCATTATCCCTATCATCAGCAGCAGCAGCATCATTATCCCTATCATCAGCAGCAGCAGCATCATTATCCCTATCATCATCAGCAGCATAATTATTTCCATCATCGTCAGCAGCAGCATCATTATTCCCATCATCAGCAGCAGGATCATTATTTCCATCATCAGCAGCATCATCATTATCCACATCTGCAGCATCCCTATCATCAGCAGCAGCAGCATCATTATCCCTGTCATCATCAGCAGCATAATTATTTCCATCATCATCAGCAGCCGCATCATTATCTCCATCATCAGCAGCATCATTATCCCCATCATCCTCAGCAGCAGCATCATTATCCCCATCATCAGCAGCAAGCAGCATCATTATCTCCATCATCAGCAGCATCATTATCCCCATCATCCTCAGCAGCAGCATCATTATTCCCATCATAAGCAGCAGCATCATTATTCCCATCATAAGCAGCAGCATCATTATCCCCATCATCATCATCAGCATTATTATCCCCATCATCAGCAGCTGCATCATTATTCCCATCATCAGCAGCAGCACCATTATCCCTATCATCATCAGCAGCATCATTATCCCCATCATCAGCAGCTGCATCATTATTCCCATCATCAGCAGCAGCACCATTATCCCCATCATCAGCAGCAGCATCATTATCCCCATCATCATCATCAGCAGCATCATCATTCCCATCATCAACAGCATCCCCATCATCAGCAGCATAATTATTTCCATCATCAGGAGCAGCATCCTCTTCAACATCAGCAGCAGCATCATTATCCCTATCATTAGCAGCAACATCATTATTCCCATCATCATCATCATCAGCAGCATCATTATTCCCATCATCAGCAGCAGCATCATTATCTCCATCATCAGCAGCAGCATCATTATTCCCATCATCATCAGCAGCATCATTATCCCCATCATCAGCAGCAGCATCATTATCCCCATCATCAGCAGCAGCATCATTATCCCTATCATCAGCAGCAGCATCATTATCCTCAGCAGCAGCATCATTATTCCCATCATCATCAGCAGCATCATTATCCCTATCCTCAGCAGCAGCATCATTATCCCCATCATCAGCAGCAGCATCATTATCCCCATCATCAGCAGCAGCATCATTATCCCCATCATCAGCAGCAGCATCATTATTCCTATCATCAGCAGCAGCATTATTATCCCCATCAGCAGCAGCATCATTATCCCCATCATCAGCAGCATCATTATCCCCATCATCAGCAGCAGCATTATTATCCCTATCATCAGCAGCAGCATTATCCCCATCAGCAGCAGCATTATCCCCATCAGCAGCAGCATTATCCCTATCATCAGCAGCAGCATTATCCCCATCAGCAGCAGCACTATCCCCATCATCAGCAGCATCATTATTCCCATCACCAGCAGCATCATTATCCCCATCATCAGCAGCAGCAGCATTATCCCTATCATCAGCAGCAGCATCATTATCCTCATCATCAGCAGCATCATTATCCCCATCATAAGCAGCAGCATCATTATCCTCATCATCAGCAGCAGCAGCATTATCCATATCATCAGCAGCAGCATCATTATCCTCATCATCAGCAGCAGCATCATTATCCCTATCACCAGCAGCAGCATCATTATCCCCATCATCAGCTGCAGCATCATTATCCCCATCATCAACAGCAGCATCATTATCCTCATCATCATCTGCAGCATCATTATCTCTATCATCAGCAGCAGCATCATTATCCCCATCATCATCAGCAGCATCATTATTATCCCTATTATCAGCAGCAGCATCATTATCCCTATCATCAGCAGCAGCATCATCATTCCCATCATCAGCAGCAGCATCATTATCCTCATCATCATCAGCAGCATTATTATCTCTATCATCAGCAGCAGCATCATTATTCCCATCATCAGCAGCATCATTATCCCCATCATCAGCAGCAGCATCATTATCCTCATCATCAGCAGCAGCATCATTATCCTCATCATCATCAGCAGCAGCATTATCCCTATCATCAGCAGCAGCATCATTATCCCTATCATCAGCAGCAGAATCATTATCCCTATCATCATCAGCAGCAGCATCATTATCAACATCAACAGCAGCATCATTATCCCTATCATCATCAGCAGCAGCATCATCATTCCTATCATCAGCAGCAGCATCATTATCCCCATCATCAGCAGAATTATTATCCCCATCAGCAGCAGCATCATTATCCCTATCATCAGCAGCAGCATTATCATTCCCATCATCAGCAGAATTATTATCCCCATCATCAGCCACATCATTATTCCCATCATCATCATCATCAGCAGCATCATTATTCCCATCATCAGCAGCAGCATCATTATCTCCATCAACAGCAGCATCATTATCCCCATCATCAGCAGTAGCATCATTATCCCCATCATCATCAGCAGCAGCATCATTATTCTTAGCATCAGCAGCAGCATCATTATTCCCATCCTCAGCAGCATCATTATCCCTATCATCAGCAGTAGCATCATTATCCCCATCATCAGCAGCAGCATCATTATCCCCATCATCAGCAGCAGCATCATTATCTCTATCACCAGCAGCAGCATCATTATCCCTATCATCAACAGCAGCATCATTATCCCCATCATCATCATCAGCAGCATAATTATCCCCATCATCCTCAGCAGCAGCATTATTATCTCTATCATCAGCAGCAGCATCATTATCCCCATCATCATCAGCAGCATCATTATCCCTATCATCATCAGCAGCATTATTAACTCTATTATCAGCAGCAGCATCATTGTCCCTATCATCAGCAGCAGCATCATCATTCCTATCATCAGCAGCATTATTATCTCCATCAGCAGCAGCATCATTATCCCTATCATCAGCCACATCATTATTCCCATCATCATCAGCAGCATCCCCATGAACATCAGCAGCAGTATCATTATCCTGTCCCCGGGAAGGCATTATCCCAATATTATTATTGCTAATAATTTATCTTTAAACAAAGCCTTATGATAATAATAGAAATAAAGATTCTTCTTCATCGCGTCCACGGCTATAAACTGTGGTAAAAAATTCTGGTTGTTCATCCACTTCTGGACTTTGAACTTAATTCAGAACCTGAGTGTTGCATGCACATCCGTTTAACAGATCTGAGTTAAAAGTATGCATGTTGTTGGTTCCTTGCCACTCAGGCAGATGTACTCCTACTTCGAAGGACGCTCCCAGTTAGTGGACTCTTACGGCATGCTTGTTGGGAAGGCAGTGGGTCTATTCGTTTTCCCCGTAGTGGAACCCACTCAGGGAATAATAAAGATGATTGTGTGAACATACAACTTTTATATTTGTGGTAATAGACCAAATGTACTGTCAGAGGCCAGTTCGGAATCATGAAGTAAGAATCGTGAATCATCACGCTTGTACCAGTTGACCTCCAGCGCAAAGTCAGTGTGTGAACGTACAGCTCGTTCACGCAATAAGCCGTGCCCAGTTTAGAGGCAAGGTCGAGTTCACTCAGCCGACACGGAGTGCTACGGATTTTGCTATGAACTCGGGAGGAAATACAAAAGGCTTGATCCAAGCGGATTTGGGGACTTGTGAGCGGACAGTTGTGGACGACGGTTGTGTGCTTGTCGACAGAAAGAGACAGGACAACAGTTTAACGACGAGGTAACGGTTAGGTTAGTGACGGTTAGGTACAAATAGGATATTCGTATTTAGTGTCTGTGATAGGCCGTATTTGTATTTATTGTTGTCGGCCAGATGGTAGAGATAGTTATGTTCTTTGTGTCGTAGATATTACAGGTAGTATTTGTTTAAGCAGTTAATCATAGGTGACGCGCCTGGTAATGGCGATTACACTGCCCGGGCGCGCTTAGGCCATACACTTCTCGCGTATCGCTGAAGTCCCGCTTGGCAATCGACGGCGGATTGATTGGCACTGAGACACTGTTAGCTAAGAGTCGTGCTCCCCTGGATCCATGGGAGCTGGCCTAGGGTGATTAGTGAGTGTAAAGCTGTCATCGCCAAGGCAGTTTCGGATGGGAGCTGCTTAGCCCAGTTGAAGTGTTGTACGTCTTATGTTCATTGTACATTAAAGATTATGGTTGTACTCAGCCAGAGTGTCGCCTTAAGTGTGTTTGGGTAGTAGAGTCTGTCAGCTGGCCTTCCTAGCGAGCCATATAAAACAAGTAGAATAGAATAGGTCCCTGACATGTACTATTGTGCGGATAAACCAGCGGGATCAGACTAACTGTATGATTGGGTTAACTGAAGAGCTGTATGATTGTGGAAATAAACCAGGTTTTAAATTAATTTTTATTTTAGCTTTTTTTTTTTTTTTTTTTGCATAATGCTCTTGTCTGACCTCACATTTTCTAACTTGCTGTCATGGTTGCAGACTCACAGTCATCATTTGATTCTTACAGATATCTTACTTCTTCTAAGTATTATATCAGCCTGGTCCACTTCTCGTCTCACCTCCACATTAGCCTTGCCTGCAAGCCTACCTGCTTTTCTTCTTCTTCTTCATTCATTTGTTTCACACCTGTGTGCTCATCTGGGTCTAGCCTTGACCCCCTCAGAGATTCTAACCTTTGTCCTTGAGCCCAGCCCAGCCCAGCCCATCTCTTGTCTTCCTGAGCATACTCCTTGGGTCACCGATGAAACCTGTATGCAATTCTGGGTCTCCATGCTTTAGTTACTGTTGTTGTATCTCTGCTTCCATTTTCCCCCTCTGCATAGTAGTATGCTTTTGAAAAATGACCAGGTCGACCTAGCCTTGAGTGGGTACCGGGTGCAGTCCCGGGAAGTAAAGGCAGCCAGCGTGATACTGACCACATCACCCATCTTGTGCCAATTGGTCTGTAAAATATAGGTCTAGACCTATGTGCCCTATATGCCTGAAGGCTATAGTAGTATGCCTCTAGATACTAGGCCTGTTGTTGAGTTGTGAACATTTAGGGATCTCTGATTGTGAAGTGGTCAAGCCGTGTACTTCACGTTCTGAAGGTCATGGGTTCAACTTACACCTGCATCATTTGATTCCTAAGCACAATTTTTACTGAGATCTCAGGGGAATGTCACCAGAGCTGCGTAGTTTGTGCTATGTGTGACATAGTGGCTAGCCATTCTGTTGAAAGAGACCAAGCCATATGGGATTAAATCTGCTGCAGTGAAGTCAGTCTTCTCACCTTTTACCCTAATCTTGTTAAAAGCTCGGTTTCTCTGTCCTAGATCTATAAAGTGAGCAAAGATCTACATTTCATCCCAACGGGAGTCAAATGTGATGTTCTGGAAGAAGGACTAACGCGACATCTTCAGCGGACCATCCGGGGCTGCGTCGAGGACATGTATGACAACCTGCAGAATGCAGAGGGGTCCCAGATAGAGGACCCAGCCCTGAGGTACGAGAGGGATGAGTTTGTCAAGGCCCCTATAATCACCAGGGTGGAGGTGAAGGTCAGAAAGCCTTGCGATAAATATCCATCGCTTGAGTCTGACGAATCATGTGAGTACCTTGTATGTTGTATGTAATCAGATATTCGCAGTTCCAGTCACATAGCAGACATAGATGCTCCGTTCCTTTGCCACCGGAAACCGCACAGCTTGTTCATTGCTGTTCGCTGTGGAAAAATTGACACAGACGGCAGTTCTCTGCAAAGCCATGATTGATTAGCACCTTTCCATCTTTCCAGACGATAGCGTGAACTGAAAAGCTTTTAGAAATTATGTGTGGTGCACTTTTTTGTCTCTCTCTCTCTCTCTATCTTGTTGTACCCCACGAGGACATCACACAAGCGATAAGCATCCGGTGACACAAAGTGCCACCATGCGGATGAGGACCACCCATGGAGAGGTCCCAGAAACCCCTTTCAGCCAATATGGCTGCACCCTGGCTTTTGCCAGGGGCCCTGAATATAGCTGGGCCATAAATATGGCCATAATGGCTGAACGGGCTTCACTATTTATATACCATAAATCACTAATCCTTTCAGTATGTTATGTGTTAATTTTAAATGAAGTGTTAACTCCTCCCAAACCGTGACCAATACATGGGTTAAATTTTCATTTGCCATTATGACTGTAATGTTTAACAGTCACATTGGCAGTCCAGGTTAACGTGCATTTCTTTATGTATTACGACAATCAGTAAAAGTAAACTTTTGCTGGCGTTTTATATGCCTTTGAATTATTTGTTTCCTATTGCTTCCCTTGAAAAAGTAATTTACAAAAATTATATTTCACTCTTGTGCATCGGCAGATGACCTGGTTGTCAAAAAGAAGAAAACATACATCTGGGCCAATGAGGTTTGGGGTGCTCTCAGAGGTTTGGAGACCTTTGGGCATCTGGTATGGAGAGGAACTGATGGGAACGTAAGTGTGACTTCTTTATAACTTTTTATGTGTGGTTGTGGCCTGGAAGGAGATGGGCACCAACCAGGTCAGATTTTTCCCTGCCCCTCCAGGTGACGGGCCTAGCAAGCAGATTGCTACTACACAAGAAATACTGAATACATATAAAACAGAAGGAGGCAAATACAGGCACTGAAGAAATCAGTGAACGTCTTTTTGCAGACAATCCATGTCTAATACACCACCAAAAACAGAATTTACAACACCATATTGACTCCTTACATCAAGCCTGCACAAAGTATGACATGAGAATTAAACACAGCGAAAACTGAGGTAATGAGGATAGGCAGGAAATATAAAATCATAAATATTCATTTTACCGACACTACAATGAAACAAGTACGAGATTTCAAATATCTAAGAAGCATATTTATGTAGGATGGCAGACTCGAAAGAGAGATATAAGCCAGAGTACAGAAGGCAAATGCTGCCACCTACCAGTTAGTACCACTGTTTAGACACACCGATGTCTCCCTCCCAGCATCCTTATCCCTACTTTATGTTATCAGTGCCAAACATGGACAATGAATAGGGCACTAGAACAGAAAATAACTACATGTAAAATGTGCTGTCTCTGCTATGTCACTAACAATTTGTTTTCCTTCTGTTGTTTCCAGCTGTATATCAAAGAAACTGTCATCAGTGACTACCCCAGGTTTCCACATCGTGGCCTCCACATTGACACTTCACGGCACTATTTATTCAAAGAGGTCATTCTAGACATCCTGGTAAGTCATCAGAAGGTTATCCTTTTCCCTCAGCTTCACAGCTGTATCCTGTCTTCTGACAACCTTATCCTGTTTCATCACAACCTTATCCTGTCTCCTCACAACCTAATCATGTCTCTCTAACAACCTTATCCTGTCTTCAAGCAACCTTATCCTGTCTCCTCACAACCTTATCCTGTCTTCAAGCAACCTTATCCTGTCTCCTCACAACCTTATCTTGTCTTCTAGCAACCTTATCCTGTCTCCTCACAACCTTATCCTGTATCCTGTCCTCTAACAACCTTATCCTGTCTCCTAACAACCTTATCCTGTCTCATCACAATCTTATCCTGTCTTCTAACAACCTTATCCTGTCTCCTGACAACCTTATTATGCTCCTGACAACCTTATCCTGCCTTATCCTGTCTCCTGACAACTTTATCTTGTCTCCTCACAACCTTATCCTGTATTCTGTTTTCTAACAACCTTATCCTGTCTCCTTACAACCTTATCTGTGATGAAAACACATGAAAGGTATTCTATATTTCTCACATCTAGACATATATAGACCATTGCTCTACAATATTGGATTGCTGTTTCAGTTCTGTAATCAAGCGGCTCACGTCATTGCGAAAGTGCGAAATATGCTTAAAAAGTAATAATCATGGGACAGTCAGTTCTAAAAGTCTTATGCTACTACCACTTTTCAATGAGGCAAAATCTATTCACAAAATATTATCTCAGAAGTCCCAATGTTACTTATGGCTGTTGTTTAAATATAATGGATTGCGTGGCAAACGTCTAAACATATTACACATCCCTAAACCTACAATAGACCATACAAAACAAGTTTGGTGTACTCGACAGCTCTATTGTCGATTTATCTTCCACAAAAATTTTTGTACAAAATTACCACTAGTCCCTATACATAAAATAGGAAACTGTTTGAATATTATCTGAGCGTATATTACATGCCCCCCATAAAAGATGAAAAATATTTTAGAAATAGTGACATTTCCCCTAGATTTATTGCAACGACTACTGTTTACTGTAGTTAAAAATTTGCATCCCCGTGGATTCTGGGATCATATTATGGGGAAAACAAGAATAGACCCACTGCCTACCCAAAAGCATGTCGTAAGAGTCGACTAATTGGGAAGTCGGAGTACCTCTGCCTGAGAGGCAAGGAACCAGCAGTCTGCATACAATTGAGTCAGATCTGTAAAACGGATGCACTGATGCACCGCAGCACTCAGGTTCTGGAATGTTTCTTAAATGTTTGTGTATTCTAGACAAAGCAATAAGGTCTACTGTGCTCGTAAATTGTTGCTGTGATTGTTATTCGACATTTGCTTCGTTAATAACCTCACAACCTTATTCTGTCTCCTCACAACCTTATCCTGTCTCCTCACAACCTTATCCTGTCTCTTCACAACCTTATCCTGTCTCCTCACAACCTCCTCTAGTCTCCTCACTACCTTATCCTGTCTCTTCACAACCTCCACCGGTTTCCTCACAACCTTATCCTGTCTCTTCACAACCTCCTCCAGTCTCCTCACAACCTTATCCTGTCTCTTCACAACCTCCTCCAGTCACCTCACAACCTTGTGTCTCCTCACAACCTTATCCTGTCTCCTCACAACCTTGTGTCTCCTCACAACCTTATCCTGTCTCCTCACAACCTTGTGTCTCCTCACAACCTTATCCTGTCTCCTCACAACCGTGTGTCTCCTCACAACCTTATCCTGTCTCCTCACAACCTTGTGTCTCCTCACAACCTTATCCTTTCACCTTACTACCTTGTCCTTTTCCCTTATAAACCTCTTCTGTCTCCTCACAACATTATCCAGTCTCCTCACAACCTTATCCTGTCTCCTCACAAACTTCTCCTGTCCCCTCACAACCTTATCCTGTCCCCTCACAACCTTATCCTGTCTCCTCACAAACTTCTCCTGTCCCCTCAGTCTTATCCTACCCATAATTCCCGTTGACTGACACAAAGAGTATTGTACTTCCAGGACAGCATGGAGATGAATAAGCTGAACGTCTTTCACTGGCACATCGTGGACGACCAGTCTTTCCCCTACGAGAGCAAGGTCTACCCAGAGCTCAGCAGGAAGGGAGCCTTCCACCCGACCTACGTGTACACCTTGGAAGATATTGCCGAGATAATCGAGTATGCCAGACTTCGTGGCATTCGGGTCATGCCAGAATTTGACACGCCAGGTGAGGGTGGGGGGTGTCCTAATTTGTTGTTTGAATAGTCGATTAACTAGAACTATCTTTGCATACTAGTTATGCCTGTATGTGCTCTGTCTTTCTTAGCAGATGCATGAGGTTAGAGATGGTAAAAGTATTATGTTCTTCACATGCAATCTTAAGTGAAAAAATATTATTTGTAGTATTTAGAAACTCTGAAAACAGCAAATAGAAAAAAGAAGTTTAATAAAAATTAAATTTTGTTATGCGTCCCTTACAGGGTGTTGCAGAACCAACCCAAGCAAGTGTTGACTGTTTGTGATTTTACTCAACACCTAAGCATTATATAGCATGTTTTGCAATACCTATGCCACACACTGAAAAATATAGTATAGACCAAGCAAATATAGCATTGATCAAGCAAATATAGCATCTTCCAAGCAAATATAGTGTAGTCCAAGCAAATATAGCATAATCCAAACAAACGCAGTAAAGTCCAAGCAAATATAGCTTAGTCCAAGCAAATATAACATAGTCCAAGCAACTATAGCATAGTCCAAGCAAACGTAGCATAGTCCAAGCAAATGTATCATAGTCTAAGCAAATGTATCATAGTCCGAGCAAATATAGTATAGACCAAACAAAAAAATTTTAAAAATGAATATTCTATGCAACCTATCTGTCAATCGAGATAAGAAAGAGGGTTGCTGACAGCTGTATGAGGTTAATACCGATGTAAGGGCTGCAGTTGACACCTAGCTTTTTTTTTAAAAATAATTCTCCGTTTTCATTAATTATCCCTGGTCACTGTTACATTTTTTAAAAATGTATTTATCTACATTTGTAATTGTTTTTCAAAATACAGTGATATATAAAGGGTAATCAGTCAGCACAGAGTAAAGCATTAAAGGGAATGTGTTTCTTCCTGGAGCCTGATAAACATAATATATGTTGGGTGACTCATGCCAAGACCCCACCCCCACCCCCCACCCCCACCCCAACCTCTATCATTGAGGTTTACAGGAAATTTTTGAACTCAGCTGGGCTTTAAATAAGCCACTGGGAGTCATAAGAATAACCCTCTCCATGCTTTTTACTTAGTATATCCTGACCTGTTAAACACTGCAGTTGTAAGGACAAGGAATCAGGAACACGTAGAACAAGTGAAATTTAACTACTTTTTTAAGAACATAATGCTGACCGCATCACCCATCTTGCGCCTTTTGGTCTGTAAAACATAGGTCTAGCCCTTTATGCCCTATATGCCTAAAGGCGTGGAAAAGGGTCCTTTACTTTTACTTTTTTACTTTTGAGAACAGGTCACCGGAGACATGGCAGTAAATCGACATTTACTGGGCTGCGTCACAACCACAAGTGACTAGATTTAGTCTTCTTGTGGCAACAGGGTTCTTCTTAAAGTCCTTGCTGTGTGGTGTTGGTGGTCATGTCTATCCACAACCTTCTGTCGTGTGTACTTTCAGTCAACTCTGACACAGATAATCCTTCGCGCTATGATGTCAAACTGTCCAGCATCTATTCTCTCTGTCTCTCTCTGCCTCTCCTCCCTTCCAACTTTCCTAGTGTCAGGGTGTACTCCAGTTTTCTCCTTCTCATCACATGACCAAACAATATACTATCTCTTTCTGGTGTGGGCAATTAGTTCTCTTCGTAAGTTAGTATCTTTCAAGACATCCTCATTACTGTTTTTATCTGTCCAGGGTGGTCTGGGTTCATGCCCGGGGGTAGGCAGATAAGCCACAGTTCTCCCAGATTTGCGGTATCTATCATGGAATCAAGGCAGAAGAGTTGCGATATCCATAGTACCGAGCCAAAAGGGGTTACAACTCATGGTTTCTGGATAATTTTTTTTAAAAAAATCTGTCCAGGATATTCTTATCCTTTGTCTATAAAACCACATCTCCACAGCTTCAAAATAATTTTTGGCTAATCTGCCAACTGTCCATGATTCACTTCCATACATCAAGATATGATTTATAAAACTTAAGAATTCTTTTTCTTGTCTCAGTTGACAAAGAAAGATTGCGTAGAATATTCTTCATAGCTCTCATGATGCCAGTGATCAATGGTAATTAAAACAAATTATGAATTTAGTTTTTGCTTCTCACTCTCCATTTCCCGCTGTTTGCATCTTTGATGGGTCCAAAGATTTGTCGTAAGACTGTTTTTAGAAAACCTGTAGTAAGGCTTCATATCTTTTAGTTGTGCTCTTTTAGTTATGCTCTTTTATAAGACCATATAAAACGACTGGTCTTATCGTTTTATATATTTTGATCTTGGTGTTGCAAGACAGACACTTTGACTTTAGCAGATGTTAAGGGCATAGTACACTTTATTTCCAGATGTTAAATGACAAATAACCAAACTAATGTTGATATTGTTGCCCTCAGGCCACACCTACGCCTGGGGTCTCAGCCGACCGGAACTGCTGACCCAGTGTTACTCTGGAAGCGTGCCAGTGAAGGGCTACCTGGGTCCCATAGACCCCAGCAAGAACTCCACCTATAGGTTCCTGCAGACACTGTTCAAGGAAATCGCTGAGGTCTTCAAGGATCAGTACATACATCTGGGAGGAGACGAGGTTCCCTTGGGATGTTGGTAAGTCTTCTCCTCCTCCTGTTCTTCTTCTTCGTCTCCTTCTCCTCCAACTCCTCCTCCTTCTCCTCCTCCTCCTGTTCTTCTTTGTCGTCTCCTCCTCCTCCTCTTCCTTCTTCTTCTTCACGTTCACTGGCTGTAAACTCTAGTTGAATGTATTGGTTGATTCTTCACTTCTGGACTCCAGTCCTGTTCCAGAAGAAGTCTTGCATTCACATCCATTTAACAGATCAGGCTTATTTGAATGCAGACTGTTGGTTCCTTATTTCTCATGCTGATGTACCCTTGACTTTGAAGGAAAAAACCTTAATTAATGAACTCTTACAACCTGCTTGCTAGGCAGGAAGTGGGTCTGTTCCTGTGTTTCCCCCACAATAGGGCCCTGGAATCCGTGTGGGTAAGTCGGACTTGATAATATGAATGAGAATGACCTTTCTGGAGCTGGCATTCCCTATTGTGTATGTACAGTGTATGCCCTCTGTTACAGGTTGCCTTACTCTCAGTGATTTAATTAGTACCTCTTTATGATCCATTCACAATGCTCAGTCTATGAAGGTTCAGGTGGCTGGGCCACACCTGGAGGATGGAGGATGGCAGAGTGGACATCCTCTATGGTGAATTAAAAATTGGTAAAAGATGTTGAGGCCGACCTCTACTACGATATAAAGATGTGTGCAAGCAGGGCATGGATGATACGCCTGTTGAGGTGAACTTGCGGGAACAAAATTCCATGGACCATGTTGTGTAGAGGGGGATACAGCAGGAAGAGAATGAGAATGAAGGAAAAAATGATTATAGAAAGGATGAGAGCTAGTGTCTGAGAAGAAACACAAATGTTGACAACAACGGTCCTGAAATCACATGCTATCATTGTGGAAGAATTTTCTTGACACGGGCGGGTCTTGCTAGTCTCACACCTCAGCGCCGACATTTCCGGTTAAAATGGACGCTAGACAGCGGCGCTGTTCGGAGCGGAGGCAAATTTTTTGCTTCTGCCGGACGGTGGCCGAAGTATTTTTGCTCCATTTGTAGACTTGATATAGTTTCGTCGCCCAGCTTCTGAGTTGAATGCATGGCGTGACCCTGTGAGCTGCGGATTGCATTTGGAATGTTTTTTCGACTGTGACCAACGTGGTGTGAATTGTAGATTCAGAAAATGGCGCGATGCCGGTCGTGCAATGCTGGCGGGACCTGTATTAAAATTGATCGCGCGGGCAACTGCTGATCTGTTGGAGACAAGTTCTGCTATCATCAATGATGAACTGCATTTCTAATGTTGGACTGTTTGTGTTAGCACTTCGGATGGCTACCATATGCGTTAATGCGAGTGTATGCTAGATTTGCTGAGACAGCAGTCTGTCAATCTTTCCACAAGGGACTGTGATAAACATTCTGAGTGTTTTACGCTGGCACAGGAGCGGAGCAAAGATGGGGCGACCCGTTTGCTATGAAGCTGAAACTAAGACTACCAGACTACCAAACACCTCAGCGCCGTGGGCTGTGAGTCTCATGCCTCCTTATAGCGCAATATAACACTGTCGTCCGATATCTGTCCAGGCCGTGACAAAAGGCTGTCAGGAATATTCTCTTATTGTCTTTCCCTATCTCTCTTTGCTTAAAAGTTTGAATTTGTCATCACCTGTTGTAAATTTTTCTCTTTTAGTTTGTGTTGTATTAATTCTTTATTTGCTAAGAAAGGGGACAGAATGTAAACAGGAGGAGAAAGCAGTGACATACTTTTAGAAGAAAAGGACCATCCAGTCTATCAGAAGTGAACAGTCTGGCTAGAGATAACTACCACTTACTTGACCAGCATGGTCAGGTCATTATTCTGTGCCTCAGGACAGGGCATACAAAATTTAATGAGCATCTGCACAGGCTTCATCTGAGTAGTTCACCTTTGTGCCTGTGTGTGGGCCGTGTGTGGGCCGTGTGTGGGCCGTGTGTGGGCCGTGTGTGCAGACTAAGAATGTCCCTTGTACAACCCATTAAGTAGGGAATCCCAATGACTGGCACACATTTCTTATGAGTTCACCTAAAGTGGCACACATTTCTTATGAGTTCACCTAAAGTGGCACACATTTTTTATGAGTTCACCTAAAGTGGCACACATTTCTTATGAGTTCACCTAAAGTGGCACACATTTCTTATGAGTTCACCTAAAGTGGCACACATTTCTTATGAGTTCACCTAAAGTGGCACACATTTCTTATGAGTTCACCTAAAGAGGCACACATTTCTTATGAGTTCACCTAAAGTGGCACACATTTCTTATGAGTTCACCTAAAGTGGCACACATTTCTTATGAGTTCACCTAAAGTGGCACACATTTTTTATGTTCACCTAAAGTGGCACACATTTTTTATGTTTACCTAAAGTGTCACACATTTATTTATGAGTTCACCTAAAGTGGCACACATTTCTTATGAGTTCACCTAAAGTGGCACCTATTGCTTTTGGGTTCACCCAAAGTGGCACACATTTTTTATGAGTTCACCTAAAGTGGCACACATTTCTTATGAGTTCACCTAAAGGGACAGACATATCTTATGAGTTCACCTAAAGTGACAGACATATCTTATGAGTTCACCTAAAGTGACAGACATATCTTATGAGTTCACCTAAAGTGACAGACATTTCTTATAAGTTTACCTAAAGTGGCAGACATTTATTATGAGTTCACCTAAAGCGACAGACATATTTTATGAGTTCACCTAAAGTGACACACATTTCTTATGTCACTTTTCACGTCATGTTTGACAGGCAGTCAAACCCTGAAGTAACAGCGTTTGCACAGGAGTTGGCAAAGAAACACCGTGACCTTCAACAAGGCCAAGGGCAGTATAACCAAAATGGCAATATCGGAGGAAGCTGGAGCATGTGGTCTGATGAAATCAGGCGGGTGTATGAGTACTATGAGAACAGGTATGTACAGGTGGGTGGGGTTCCCATTCATTTCTGTCAAATATGGCGGTAATCATTCTGTGTCAGCCCTCCATGTTTGTGGGCTCAGGTGGGGGACCACCAGGCTTATCACACCTTTTTTTTTAAATTTAAATTTTATTTTTATTTTATTATTTTCTAGTCTTCTTCTTCTTCTTCTTCAGCACTTCGAGCCCTTGAGGTTCATGTCACCTGCTGACCATTTATCTCTCCCGGGTGGCCTTCTCTTTCTAGTTGATGGATACCAAGTGTTTGCAGGTCTGTCTGGATATTATCTCTCCATCGTCGTCTTTGTTTGCATCATGGTCTATGACCATTTATCTCCCTCATGTATACAGTTTTTACTTCTCTGTCATCTGACATTCTTTCAGTATGCCCCAACCATTTCAGTCGATTAGCTCTCATGATGCCAGTGATTAGTGGTAATTTAAACAGGTTATGAATTTCGTTGTTGCTTCTCGCTGTCCATTCTAGGTCGGTGTATATAAAATTGTAGTCTAGCTTCAAATGCATAGGCCTGCCTGAGAGTCCTCAATACCTTTTCTCCAGGCTATGCCCGCGTGGTGGGTAATGAACAGGCAGACATATTGGCTGGATCTGTACCACTGGGTGGTGAATAGATACATGACAAGGCAGAGGTGGTCAAGACCCTTTGGTAACAAGCAGCAAAATCAGTAGAAAAACAAGATTATGGCTTGGGGAGAATGAGGCACCTGGGTGTAACCAGAGCGTCCAGCTGGCTCACTGCACTCAGAGGGAAGACAACACAGACATATAACCAGATTGTGACTGGTACCATCAGTATTGGAACTCTGCGCTGGCTGCTGAAGATGAGGATGGAGCACACATGGGAATGGCCTCAGTGTTGTGATGTCGATTCTTGACTCAGCTCAACTCAACAACTCAACCGTTTGAAAATAAAGCTGGTGTATTTTTTTTTCTTTGCACTGTATAATCCTGTCCCTTCTGTGTGTTGTCTCCCCTAGGTTAATCAACATCCTCAATGAGATTGGGCAGAAAAGAAAGAAGGGCATTAAGTATGTCATGTGGCAGGAAGTCATGAACAATAACCTGCAGGTAGGTTCTTCGTCATTGTCATCCTGTAAAACTGTTTGATGTTGGGTCACCAGTTGCTATTGACTCTTTGATCAGCTGCTTCCACTTTGACGAGTTGAGTTCTGTAACCAGGTCTTTCTTGGTCTGCCTCTTCTTCTTTTCTCCTCTACTGAGCCCTGTAGTATTGTCTTTGAGAGGCCATTAGATCTTATTACCTGTCCGTATCATTGCATTTTAACTGTAGTTAAAACGGGTTTATAGTTGTCAGTGTGCTGGCTAGCCTCATGATGCTTGATGTGGTCTCTATGTGGTCCCTGTTTTTATCTTTTCTTCCACTGTTTTTGTGTGTGTGTGTGAGTGAGTGTGTGTGTGTGTGAGTGAGTGTTTGTGTGTGTGTGAAAGTAAGTGTGTGTGTGTGTGTGTTAAGTTGGTTGTGGCGCAGGGATTTTGGTCACAAGTGTGAAGTCAAGTTCAATCAGTTGTGATGTGTGTAAGGAGGTACTGCGTACCTCACCTTAGGTGCCAGAACCTCATGCAAGACTCTGGCTACATGTCCCCATCGTGTGCTGCAGACAGTGTCTCAAATGAGCATTAACCGAGCTGGCAGGGTATCTTGGAGCTGGTGGCCCTAGAGATGTAGGGTCTGGTCTGGCTCTCATCAGCCCATCCCCAGTTCATGGATGAGAACATCTAATTCATTTGGAACATAAGTAAAGTACGCGTGCTGAAGGAACCACTAAATGACAACTCTCGGTTGAAACTTTCGAGTGAATGAAAAACTGGACTGCTGAGACTCAGCCCTTGACCAAGGGATTTGCTCGCAGCTTAGAGGAATAAATCTCCTGTGGATGGTTTATCGGGATAAAATTCTGTCTTTGTACATCCTCTGTCAACCCTCAACGTCATTGTCACCGCACTGAGGTAAACAGCAACAGCCACCGTCGGTCTGCTGGGTGGGCTTAAATATCCGACAAATACACATCCTGTGGCACTCAAGCAAAGTCTCAATGTTAGACTGTCATAAATCCTACTGACGGGCCGAAAGGTTCAAATGTCTGTATCCCTAGACTCCAATCACCCAACTTTTGGGACCAAACAGGTGAAGCCATGCCTGATGCATGCCTCTCCATAATGGCATGCTAAGCACAAAATGTAAACAACGTTAAAGGTGTCTTGACCTGATGAAGAAGAATGTACCACCTATATGTAGCCATCGAAGTTCTGGAGCTGCGGGCTGCTCACTGCTGATTTCCGAAGGACACAGCCCATGACGAGTGGTAGGCTTAACATACAGATGTTAGGTCAAGCAGTCATGTGCAGGACCTGACAATTCCTTTGGTGAGGCCAGAACCTGAGCGTCATATGTTCACTCTGCATTTATAGAAGTCTCCTTGGGGGGGGAGGGGGAGCTAACCAGTTAACAGAAACTGGTGATCCTGTGACATGAGTTGTTATGTTTTACTAACCAGTCAACAGCAACTGGTGATCCCGTGACATGAGTTGTTATGTTTAACTAATCAGTCAACAGAAACTGGTGATCCTGTGACATGAGTTGTTATGTTTAACTAATCAGTCAACAGCAACTGGTGATCCCGTGACATGAGTTGTTATGTTTAACTAACCAGTCAACAGCAACTGGTGATCCCGTGACATGAGTTGTTATGTTTAACTAACCAGTCAACAGCAACTGGTGATCCCGTGACATGAGTTGTTATGTTTAACTAACCAGTCAACAGCAACTGGTGATCCCGTGACATGAGTTGTTATGTTTAACTAACCAGTCAACAGCAACTGGTGATCCCGTGACATGAGTTGTTATGTTTAACTAACCAGTCAACAGCAACTGGTGATCCCGTGACATGAGTTGTTATGTTTTACTAATCAGTCAACAGCAACTGGTGATCCCGTGACATGAGTTGTTATGTTTTACTAATCAGTCAACAGCAACTGGTGATCCCGTGACATGAGTTGTTATGTTTTACTAATCAGTCAACAGCAACTGGTGATCCCGTGACATGAGTTGTTATGTTTTACTAATCAGTCAACAGCAACTGGTGATCCCGTGACATGAGTTGTTATGTTTTACTAATCAGTCAACAGCAACTGGTGATCCCGTGACATGAGTTGTTATGTTTTACTAATCAGTCAACAGCAACTGGTGATCCCGTGACATGAGTTGTTATGTTTTACTAATCAGTCAACAGCAACTGGTGATCCCGTGACATGAGTTGTTATGTTTTACTAATCAGTCAACAGCAACTGGTGATCCCGTGACATGAGTTGTTATGTTTTACTAACCAGTCAACAGCAACTGGTGATCCCGTGACATGAGTTGTTATGTTTTACTAATCAGTCAACAGCAACTGGTGATCCCGTGACATGAGTTGTTATGTTTTACTAACCAGTCAACAGCAACTGGTGATCCCGTGACATGAGTTGTTATGTTTTACTAATCAGTCAACAGCAACTGGTGATCCCGTGACATGAGTTGTTATGGGCTGTGATGAGGATGATAAAGACACAATCCCAGTGTTGTTTATTAAAAACAAAGTGTCTAGGCACATGGATAACTTCTGACAAAAGATGTGTCACAGAGATAAAGAACAGAATAGGAAGGGCTAAAATTGCATTTTACCAAATGAAGAACATTTTGTGTGTGTGTGTGTGCATAAAATCTCTGTCACTGGAGGTTCGGAAAAGAATTCTTGCATGCTATATAAGGTCAGTTTAAACATACGGCTATGAGTGGTTTGATGGTGGTGAGAAAGACGCAATATTATTTATTAAAAACCAAACAAAAACTAACAGTTTTGCATTCTGGGATCTCCGATGACCAGCTGCCCAATGACACAATCATCCAGGTGTGGATGGGAGACATGGCTGACGTGATGAGGGCCACCTCCATGGGCTACCAGGTGATCTACTCCACCTGCTGGTACATGGACCACATCGAGTACGGAACCAAGTGGCCCAAGTACTACAACTGTGATCCTGTGGACCAGAGTTTTGGTAAGATTTTGTGGAAATTACTTCTTCTTGCTCTCACTTAAAGAATACTGTGCTTCCCGTGTGGGTGCTGGAGCCCTATTATAAGGAGGAGGGGGGGGGAGGAAGAATAGACCCACTGCCTACCCAAAAGCATGTCCTACGAGTCGACTAATTGGGAGCTTCCTTTGAAGTCGGAGTGCATCTGCCTGAGAGGCAACAGTCTGTACACAAATTAGTCAGATCTGTAAAATGGATGCACACGCAACACTCAGGTTCTGGAGCAGGACTGCAGTCCAGAAGTGAACGAACAACCAGAACTATCCGCTGGAGTTTACAGCCGGTGAATAAAAAGCAGAAGAATACTGTGCAACAGATGTCTATGTTTAACTTTTTTCAGTGCTAATAAATTGACCCCGCATTCAACTGGCAAAGACCTTCATGCATCTCCACAGATCTCGGTCTCCTGTTCTCAGGATCAGTTCCAACAATGATATCCCTCCGATGCTACTGCCGCAGTCCATCCGTCATCATCTCTCTCAGTCTGCCTCTTCCTCTTCCACCGTTGATCTTCCCAGTCGTCACAGTATTCTCCAAAGCCTTCCCCTCTTGTCTCAAAGCCTCTTGTCTTTTCCATATATATATATAAATATCCTTGTTAGTTTGACAATTCATTGCTTACTGTTGACAATACATGCTTTCCATAAGACACAGTTGGATCTTATTGTACATTAAACTCATGCTGTTCCAGTTAATACTCGACTAAAGCTTTTTCAAAACATTATTTTAACTGCTTCATACTCAAACGTTTTTAGGTTAGAAGACCAACTGCCAAGGGTAGAAAAAAAAAGTTATTTGCATATACTTTACAGGACGTTGCAGAACCAGCCCATCATTTTTTTTTTTTTGGCTGTTGTAGTTTTTCTAGGAAAATGTTACATTCATTAGTTTGCCATTGCTCTCTGAACGGTCAGCTCTCAGTACCTCTGTCGAAACCAGCTCAAAATCATCTGCTGCTGGGATCACCCTGGCATTACAAAGTGAAGTGTGTTTGCAACGCTTAAGCCACAGACGCCGACTAAGGGTAGAAAGGGGTTATGTGACATCTGGCTGACACTAAAAGAGTTAAATAATCCCCACAGAACCAGTGCACTGCTGAATTTATTGCCTGGCATATTTCACCAAATCTCATCAGCTGCCTTACTGTTGTTTGTTGTTTTTGTTGTAGTTCATCCATCAGAAATGATCAGTACCCCTCTTTCTTTCATCCGTCATGAAACTATAGTGGAATATCTGTGAGTCCGGAGGTGACTGAAAAGCCCAGTATGGGCCCAGAAGAGCAGGAACAGTGTCATGGATCGAAAACAGGAAAAACATTGACATTCTTAATGAGTTAAACATCCAGGAGAACTGGCTCATAAACAGCGTCCTGTCCCTACAGTTGAAGTATTTTGGCCACATCAAACGTCGTGGTGGCTTGGAAAAGACGGCGATAAAGGGTGCAGTTTGTGGAAAGTGAGACAGGGGTTGACCTCCGCGAAGATGGATACAAGACGTTGAAGATGCATTGGCATTGAAAGCGAATGGAGCTCGAAAGCTGGCTAGGGAGAGGGATACTTTAAGGGTGCCCTGAGGAGAGCGACGTTCTGTAAAAGACATGCTGATTGATGATGATTAGATAAAAGGTCTGTTATACAGGTCTTTCTAGCCCGTCTGCTGTTTAGCTGTCCTTTTTCTGGATGCCTCCCAAGATGCTGCGCTTCTGTAGATAGCGTTTGCCGTATACTCTGGCAGGTTAATAGAGTTACATCAGCATCTGGGATGTTACTAGAGTTACATCAACATCTGGGATGTTACTACAGTTACATCAACATCTGGGATGTTACTACAGTTACATCAACATCCGGGATGTTACTACAGTTACATCAACATCCGGGATGTTACTACAGTTACATCAACATCCGGGATGTTACTAGAGTTACATCAACATCCGGGATGTTACTACAGTTACATCATCTGGGATGTTGCTACAGTTACATCAACATCCGGGATGTTACTACAGTTACATCAACATCCGGGATGTTACTACAGTTACATCAACATATAATGCAGCATAAAAGTGAATCCTTTCTTGACCAAAGAGGGAACACTGGGAAAACAGGACCTCCATCTATTTTCACAACAAGATATAAAGACACTGATCAAGGAGAAGTACAGAAACTACTGGAGGCTGGGAAAACAGGACCTCCATCTCTTATCACAACAAGATATAAAGACACTGATCAAGGAGAAGTACAGAAACTACTGGAGGCTGAGAAAACAGGACCTCCATCTCTTATCACAAGATATAAAAACACTGATCAAGGAGAAGTACAGAAACTACTGGAGGCTGAGAAAACAGGACCTCCATCTCTTATCACAACAAGATATAAAGACACTGATCAAGGAGAAGTACAGAAACTACTGGAGGCTGAGAAAACAGGACCTCCATCTCTTATCACAACAAGATATAAAGACACTGATCAAGGAGAAGTACAGAAACTACTGGAGGCTGAGAAAACAGGACCTCCATCTCTTATCACAACAAGATATAAAGACACTGATCAAGGAGAAGTACAGAAACTACTGGAGGCTGAGAAAACAGGACCTCCATCTCTTATCACAACAAGATATAAAGACACTGATCAAGGAGAAGTACAGGAACAACTGGAGGCTGAGAAAACAGGACCTCCATCTCTTATCACAACAAGATATAAAGACACTGATCAAGGAGAAGTACAGGAACAACTGGAGGCTGAGAAAACAGGACCTCCATCTCTTATCACAACAAGATATAAAGACACTGATCAAGGAGAAGTACAGAAACTACTGGAGGCTGAGAAAACAGGACCTCCATCTCTTATCACAACAAGATATAAAGACACTGATCAAGGAGAAGTACAGAAACTACTGGAGGCTGAGAAAACAGGACCTCCATCTCTTATCACAACAAGATATAAAGACACTGATCAAGGAGAAGTACAGAAACTACTGGAGGCTGAGAAAACAGGACCTCCATCTCTTATCACAACAAGATATAAAGACACTGATCAAGGAGAAGTACAGAACTACTGGAGGCTGAGAAAACAGGACCTCCATCTCTTATCACAACAAGATATAAAGACACTGATCAAGGAGAAGTACAGAAACTACTGGAGGCTGAGAAAACAGGACCTCCATCTCTTATCACAACAAGATATAAAGACACTGATCAAGGAGAAGTACAGAAACTACTGGAGGCTGAGAAAACAGGACCTCCATCTCTTATCACAACAAGATATAAAGACACTGATCAAGGAGAAGTACAGAAACTACTAGAGGCTGAGAAAACAGGACCTCCATCTCTTATCACAACAAGATATAAAGACACTGATCAAGGAGAAGTACAGGAACTACTGGAGGCTGAGAAAACAGGACCTCCATCTCTTATCACAACAAGATATAAAGACACTGATCAAGGAGAAGTACAGAAACTACTGGAGGCTGAGAAAACAGGACCTCCATCTCTTATCACAACAAGATATAAAGACACTGATCAAGGAGAAGTACAGAAAACTACTGGAGGCTGAGAAAACAGGACCTCCATCTCTTATCACAACAAGATATAAAGACACTGATCAAGGAGAAGTACAGGAACTACTGGAGAGCTGAGAAAACAGGACCTCCATCTCTTATCACATTACAACAAGATATAAAGACACTGATCAAGGAGAAGTACAGAAACTACTGGAGGCTGAGAAAACAGGACCTCCATCTCTTATTACAACAAGATATAAAAGACACTGATCAAGGAGAAGTACAGAAACTACTGGAGGCTGAGAAAACAGGACCTCCATCTCTTATCACAACAAGATATAAAGACACTGATCAAGGAGAAGTACAGAAACTACTGGAGGCTGAGAAAACAGGACCTCCATCTCTTATCACAACAAGATATAAAGACACTGATCAAGGAGAAGTACAGGAACTACTGGAGGCTGAGAAAACAGGACCTCCATCTCTTATCACAACAAGATATAAAGACACTGATCAAGGAGAAGTACAGGAACTACTGGAGGCTGAGAAAACAGGACCTCCATCTCTTATCACAACAAGATATAAAGACACTGATCAAGGAGAAGTACAGAAACTACTGGAGGCTGAGAAAACAGGACCTCCATCTCTTATCACAACAAGATATAAAGACACTGATCAAGAAGAAGTACAGAAAACTACTGGAGGCTGAGAAACAGGACCTCCATCTCTTATCACAACAAGATATAAAGACACTGATCAAGGAGAAGTACAGAAACTACTGGAGGCTGAGAAAACAGGACCTCCATCTCTTATCACAACAAGATATAAAGACACTGATCAAGGAGAAGTACAGAAACTACTGGAGGCTGAGAAAACAAATACACTTGATTGAACAGAAACTCCAGAACACATAAAAAGTAAATCCTACTTATCAGTGAATAAAACGTTGATCTTGTCACATGAAACCATCAGTCATGTCACAGTAAACCCTCTATCTTGTCACAGTAAACGATCCATCTAGTCCCAGTAAACCGTCTGTCTTGTCACAGTAAACGATCCATCTAGTCCCAGTAAACCCTCTACCTTGTCACAGTAAACGATCCATCTAGTCCCAGTAAACCCTCTGTCTTGTCACAGTAAACGATCCATCTAGTCCCAGTAAACCCTCTATCTTGTCACAGTAAACGATCCATCTAGTCCCAGTAAACCGTCTGTCTTGTCACAGTAAACGATCCATCTAGTCCCAGTAAACCCTCTACCTTGTCACAGTAAATGATCCATCTAGTCCCAGTAAACCCTCTGTCTTGTCACAGTAAACGATCCATCTAGTCCCAGTAAACCCTCTGTCTTGTCACAGTAAACAATCCATCTAGTCCCAGTAAACCATCTGTCTTGTCACAGTAAACGATCCATCTAGTCCCAGTAAACCGTCTGTCTTGTCACAGTAAACGATCCATCTAGTCCCAGTAAACCGTCTGTCTTGTCACAGTAAACAATCCATCTAGTCCCAGTAAACCATCTGTCTTGTCACAGTAAACGATCCATCTAGTCCCAGTAAACCCTCTGTCTTGTCACAGTAAACGATCCATCTAGTCCCAGTAAACCGTCTGTCTTGTCACAGTAAACGATCCATCTAGTTCCAGTAAACTGTCTATCTTGTCACAGTAAACGATCCATCTAGTCCCAGTAAACCGTCTGTCTTGTCACAGTAAACGATCCATCTAGTCCCAGTAAACCGTCTGTCTTATCACAGTAAACGATCCATCTAGTCCCAGTAAACCGTCTGTCTCGTCACAGTAAACGATCCATCTAGTCCCAGTAAACTGTCTGTCTTGTCACAGTAAATGATCCATCTAGTCCCAGTAAACCATCTATCTTGTCACAGTAAACGATCCATCTAGTCCCAGTAAACAGTCTGTCTTGTCACAGTAAACGATCCATCTAGTCCCAGTAAACCCTCTATCTTGTCACAGTAAACGATCCATCTAGTCCCAGTAAACCATCTGTCTTGTCACATTAAATCGTATTTTTGGGGTCACAGTAAACCATGTTTTATCACGGCAAGCCATCTATCACGGCAAGCCGCCTATAAAAATGAACCATGTTTTATCACCGCAAGCCGCCTATCCAAATGAACCGTGCTTTATCACTGCAAGCCGCCTATCACACTGAACCATGCTTTATCACAGTGATTAACTTGGATAACCATGGCCTATCACAATGAACCACGTTTTATCACAGTGAGCTGCCTATCACAATAAACCATGCTTTATCACAGGCCTATCACAATGAACCATGCTTTATCACAGTGAGCCACCTATCACAGAGAGCCACCTATCACAATGAACCATGCTTTGTCACAGTGAGCTGCCTATCACAATGAACCATGCTTTATCACAGTGAGCCACCTATCACAGAGAGCCACCTATCACAATGAACCATGCTTTGTCACAGTGAGCTGCCTATCACAATGAACCATGCTTTGTCACAGTGAGCCACCTATCACAATAAACCATGCTTTATCACAGTGAGCTGCCTATCACAATGAACCATGCTTTGTCACAGTGAGCTGCCTATCACAATGAACCATGCTTTATCACAGTGAGCCGCCTATCACAATGAACCATGCTTTATCACAGTGAGCCATCTATCACAATGAACCATGCTTTATCACAGTGAGCCGCCTATCACAATGAACCATGCTTTGTCACAGTGAGCCGCCTATCACAATGAACCATGCTTTATCACAGTGAGCCATCTATCACAATGAACCATGCTTTGTCACAGTGAGCCGCCTATCACAATGAACCATGCTTTATCACAGTGAGCCGCCTATCACAATGAACCATGCTTTATCACAGTTAGCCGCCTATCACAGTGAACCATGCTTTATCACAGTGAGCTGCCTATCACAATGAACCATGCTTTATCACAGTGAGCCGCCTATCACAATGAACCATGCTTTATCACAGTGAGCCGCCTATCACAATGAACCATGCTTTATCACAGTTAGCCGCCTATCACAGTGAACCATGCTTTATCACAGTGAGCTGCCTATCACAGTGAACCATGCTTTATCACAGTGAGCCGCCTATCACAATGAACCTTGCTTTGTCACAGTGAGCCACTTATCACAGTGAACCACGCTTTATCACAGTGAGCCACCTATCACAGTGAACCATGCTTTATCACAGTGAGCTGCCTATCACAATGAACCATGCTTTGTCACAGTGAGCTGCCTATCACAATGAACCATGCTTTATCACAGTGAGCCGCCTATCACAGTGAACCATGCTTTATCACAGTGAGCCGCCTATCACAATGAACCATGCTTTATCACAGTGAGCCGCCTATCACAGTGAACCATGCTTTATCACAGTGAGCTGCCTATCACAGTGAACCATGCTTTATCACAGTGAGCCGCCTATCACAATGAACCTTGCTTTGTCACAGTGAGCCACTTATCACAGTGAACCACGCTTTTTCACAGTGAGCCGCCTATCACAGTGAACCATGCTTTATCACAGTGAGCCACCTATCACAGTGAACCATGCTTTATCACAGTGAGCCGCCTATCACAGTGAACCATGCTTTATCACAGTGAGCCGCCTATCACAGTGAACCATGCTTTATCACAGTGAACCATGCTTTATCACAGTGAGCCATCTATCACTATAAACTGTCTTAGCCAGCATTATCCAAATTTCTTTTCCTCAGGTTTCCAGATTGATGAGAAGAAAGTGCTGGGAGGAGAGGCCGCTTTCTGGGCAGAGTACTTCTCCAATGAAAACCTCATCCCCTTGATGTGGTAGGTGGAAATCTGCACATTAACGTCTGCCATTGTGCACTTTGGCTTCCTGTGTTGTTACTTAGTACTTATAATAGGTATATTGCTGTGTGATGTGGCATGCTTTATACCAACAACAACAAAAGAAGTAAAAATAATCACAAAGCATGAACACTGTAGCTCTAGTGACTATCCACAGGGATCTCAGTAAAGGCAAACAGCTTAAGCTTTCAGCTATGGAGCACCCCCCCCCCCCCCCTCCCCACCACCCAGTAATGTGTACGTAGACACATGGGTCATGTTATGAGAAGAGAGTAGTGGAATATGTTGCGATGACTGCAAAGAGATATACAGGAAGACAGTCTGAGAAGAGTGGCAGTTGATTAACTGATAATTTTTTTTTAATGTCAAATTATTTTATTCACATAGTCTGCCAGGTACTCAAATTTACTGATCACTTGGAGCACCACCACCGAATCCATCTCAACCTCATCCATATCCACCTCTAAACTCATACTGTTGGGATCTTGCCCCAACCTCAGGGTTTTTGTTGAGGTCTGTGGCAGGTCCTCTGGCTTTTCTGTACTCCTGGCGGTCAGTCTCTCCAGAGTGGGGACCTTCTGCAGTCTTGGGTCTGGGTGCATCTGGGCATGTCTGTCTCCTGATTGTGGCAGGACCAATCTCACCTGGCAGGTGTAGGAATTCTCCCAAGTACTGAGTGCCCTCATTGTTCAAATACTAGTAGTAGTGCCTCCATGCAAACTGTTCACGCACCAAACTCTTGGACTTCAAGCTCGTTAAAGCCTTGATAACATGAAGATTTGGCTCTTCGATTTCATGATGTTTGAATGCAAAAAAAATCCTTCTTTGCAACAAGAACACCATCTTTGAAGAGGTACTCTTAAATAGCAACTCTGTTCTTCTTGGGAATCAACATCTTGATGCTTTGCTTCTGTAATAGATTAACTGATATATGCTATTGGAGATAACAGGTTGTGGGGAGCTATGATTGCCAGACGGGAAGATACTTGATGATAATGATGATGGATAAGCACATATATACACAAAGTGATGAAAGCATATTTGACTGCAGTCAAGCTGATATCAAGAAATTAATCCACTGAACTGTGACTAAAATGCTCAACAAAGGGGGCAGAGAATCAACATAACACATGCAAGAAAATCAAGTCTTACTGAGAAAAGCTTCTACCGAAATGTCCAGTTTTTCTTATATTTGCAAGTAGTTCCCCTTCATTCCCCCCCTCCCCCCTCACTTTCCCCTTTTAGTTTAGCTTCAAGTCACAGGTCAATGGATTTAATTTCCTCATATTTACAGAAACATATCTATACACATGAGCTGCCCGGCTCTCTAGCATAGTTGGCTAAACCGGATTGCGCGGTGACCGGGTGACGAACTCCTTGTGGTCCGGGTTCACTCCCGGAAGTAGGCAGAAAAGCCACATTTCTCCCAGATTTACTGTATTTACAATGGAATCAAGGCCGAAAGGTTGCGATGTCCATTAATACCGCGCCTAAGGGTTAACAACTCATGGCTTCTGGATACTAAAACAAACAAACAAACAAACAATGCACATGAGCTCAGAGAGGGAGAAAGATACAAGTCAAGGACCCTATTCTACACCTTTAGCGTATTGGACATATAGGGCTAGACCTTAATTTTTATAGACCAATCGGCTCTTGGTGGTTGATGTGGTCAGCTTCATGCCGGGCGCCTTTACTTCCCAGGACTGCACCTAGTACCCATTTAAGGCTGGGTAGACCTAGGAGTCAAGGTCTGGCTCCGTCAGGGGGCAAACCCACGACCTTCCAATCCGCAGGCTATGTCTAGCAGCCAATGCCACGGCGTGGGAGAAAGATAAACACAGTGTTATTGTTTTTCTGTCTGTTTCAGGCCAAGAGCTTCAGCTGCTGCCGAGAGACTGTGGAGCAGCAAGGAGGTGAAGAACCTGGACAAGGCTGCTGAGAGGCTGACAGAGCACAGGTGTCGCATGATTAAGTAAGTAGTGAAAGGAAAGAGGAGGCTGAGTGGTCTCGAGGTATGGTATCAGCCCCGAGTGCTGGAGGTCCCAGGTTCAAGCCCCGGTGAAGGCTGAGATTTGTTCGTGTGGATTTCTAGTAATTTTCCCTGGTCTCTGGGTAGTAAGATCAGACACTCGTGTGTATTCTCGCGCACATGAAAAAAAATCTTTTGGTAGTTGGAAATCGAAAAATGTAGCCCTAGGCACTGCCCGGGCACAAATTTGGAGTTGAAATCTACCCAAAGTATTTCAGGATCCTCCCCGCTGCAACAGAAGCCGTGCACTGCGCCGAGATTCTTCAGACTCAGGCTTGAGTTAGAAGTAGAATGGAGCACTTATGGGTTACACCCATGTGTCATGATGTTGATCCGTTGAATAAACATAAACAGCGAAAGGAAAATATGAAAGTTGTAAAATGGTTAGAAAAACTCCTTGTGTGGGTTCCAGGTACATAGTAACTTATTAGAGGTTTCATTCAGAGTGCGTGTACCTGACAAGTAAGGAAAAGGTCGAGAGCAAGAGGTAGACAATGATACAAGTTGGAGGACAACATCAAGATTTGGACGAACAGCAGTGTGAGAGACTTTACATCCAAGACAAGAGACAGAGTCTGGGGGAGATCCATTGCAGTCAACCTTTAGTATGGAGATGGCACCTGATTGACTGTTGTCAACATTCAGGCATGCATCCCACTGTTTGGGACGATGTTGGTTACTGTTTGCAAAGGACTTATACCAAAAATAACTTTGTTTTCTGCAAAAGTCAGCTTCCGTGAACAAGTCAAAAGAATTGTTTCTTCTTCGTCTTCACATTCATCAGCTGTTAACCCCAGCGGGAAGTTCTGATTGTTCATCAGTTGCTGGACTTTGGTCTTCTTGTTACTGGTTGTCCGTATCAACATCCTAGCACAGGGCTAGACACCTGGCGGTCTGCAAGCCACACCTGGCAGCCTGCGGGCCACATCTGGCCCGCGGAGACACAGACAGTGGCAGTGGAAGATTCTGTTCCCATTTATCTATTTCAGTACCTTTTATCATTCATTTCCTGCATGCGCACATAATTTCCTTAGGGACTCTGTCACCCTCTGTCACCCTGTCACCCTCTGTCCTCCTCTGTCACCCTCTGTCCTCCTCTGTCACCCTCTGTCCTCCAGGCGTGACCTAGCTATGAGCCTTCAGAGACTGAGCATTGAGAAACATTTTCTAATATTTATTCTTTTATAAAGTCATTCATTCATTTTCTTCCCTAAGCGTAAAATCAACGCAGGGGAGATAATTTATAAATTCTTTTATTTATTCGTTCATTCATTTTCTTCTCTAGGCATAAAATAACACAGGGAAGATTATTTATTGTTTTATTCATTCATTATTATCTTGAGGAATGGAATTAACTCAGGGGAGATACATTTTTTTGTTTGGATAATATTTTTTTTTTTTTTTTGGCTGTAGGCATCGAATCAACACATGGGAGGTAATTTATTATTCTTTTATTTATAAATTTGTTTTTCTTCTCTAGGAATGGAATCAACGCAGGAGAGATAATATATTTATTCTGTTATTCATTCATTTTTTTCTCTTGGGGTTAAATTAATGCAGGGGAGATAATTTATTGATTCTTTGATTCTTTTACTTTCTTCTCTAGGCCTGGAATTGACAAAGCGGATATAATCTATTTATTCTGTTATTCTTTCATTTCTTCTCTAGCCGTAGATTCAACGTAGGGGAGATAATTCATTTATTCTCTCATTCATAAATTTTTTTTCTAAGCGTGGAATCAACACAGGAGAGATCATTTATTTATTCTGTTATTCTTTCACTTTCTTCCCTAGGCGTGGAATCAACGCAGGGGAGATCAATGGTCCCGGCTACTGCCTCCATGCACCTCCCAGACGGCGCCTCTACAATGACACCGCTGGCTGCAAGGGAGGCAACTGTAGCCGCGCACACAATTTTGTCCAGATTGAAGACTTTGAGGTGCATGTCAGCCAGAGGGGAGGAAGCCTGGCGGACTGTGGCAGTGTAAGCAGGGGAATATCTCTGTCATTCTTTCTTCCTCTCTTTCTCTCTCTCTCTCTCTCTCTCTCTCTTCTTTTTCTCTCTTTCCTTCTGTCTGTTGCTCTCACTGTGTATGCATATGAGATGTATAGATAATATGATACATTAACATTGCTGTGTCTGTTGGCCTCTCTCTCTCTCTCTCTCTCTCTCTCTCTCTGTGTTCTGTGTCTTTGAATAGTGGTATCTCTGGGACTCTCTTCTCTCTCTCTCTCTCTCTCTCTCTCTCTCTCTCTCTCTCTCTCTCTCTCTCTCTCTCTCTCTCTCTCTCTCTGTGTTTGTATGTGCAGGAATTTGAATGGTAGTATCTCATGGGATAGAGAAAATAAATTGAAGTTGGTCTATCTTTCTGTTTCTTTGACTCTGGATGTCTCTCTCTCTCTCTCTCTCTCTCCACCCTTTTTCCCTGTCCCCCTTCCTCCCTCTCTCTCTTTCCTTCCATCTCTCTCTCTCTATCTCTCTCTCTGTGGGAATGTAAGTGGTGGAATCTCGTGGGACACAGACGTAAAGTCTTCTTCTTTTTCTTTTTGTTCATCTGTGTGACGTAAATGTGTTGTGCCTGTGTACAGCAAAGCTGCGATATTTAGGCTGACACATCCAGCTTCAACAAGCATTTGTTGACCATGTCAACTTCCCAGATAGTTTTATGGGATAGGGGCATGTTATGGCCCCTTCTCTGTTGTAGTCTTCTTGACACCCTTATCAGCAGGTAAGGGACCTGGAGACCCCGACAAGGGCATCCGTGAGGTAGTCAGGTTGACCCTCAAGGGAAAGCAGGGACAGATCATGGGCATTCCCCACCATCCAAGGAGGCTTTCATAAATGCAGAGCCGACACATGGTTCTCTGGTCCTGGGGCTCAACCAAGAAGTCGTCACATCCTGCACATGACCTCTTACCCTCACATCTGCAGATCAAAAGTTAGTAGCTCCCAGGTCCGGGACTTTGATGGCATGTTAGACACCTTTAACATTGTTTCATCTGGAAACTTTTGCAAGACAGTATGGCAAAGCATGCATTCGGCATGGCTCCCCCTTTTAGGTCCCACACTCTGACGAGTGGTAACCTCACATCTGGGAAAAACCTTTCACCTTTAATCAAGGACAGGTACAGCTGCAGCAGATTAGTTCTTCCAACTCGAAAGACATTTTAACCAAGGATTGTCATTCGGCCAACGGACTTTAACCATGTTCCAAATCAGCTTGGATAGACGTTTTTACTTATGCATTGGGGGTGGGCTGATGCGAGTCAGACAGGATACTACATCTCTCAAGGCCACCAACTCTGAGATCCCTTGCCAGCTCGGTTCATGTCACAAAGGTGATCCCTTTTCTATAGCACACGAGAGGGGCGTGTGGTAGGAGTCTTGCATGAGGATCCGTAAAACCATCCAAGAGCTGATGGCACCCAAAGTGAGGTGCGGATTAACTCCGTATACACATCACAATGGCCTTAACTTTCTCTCACACCTGTAATCAGTATCACCTCGCCATGTTTATTAATTTAAAATAGATACTTCATAAGTCATTGAGCTTATATAGCCTTGATTGAGACTGTTAATACAGTACAACTGGCAATGATTCAAGCCACAGGCCTCCAGTTAAACAACCCTCTTCCTGTGTAGGTTCTGGGTCCCTTTAGTAGGGGAAGGGTGAGTAGACCCACTCCCCCTTCCATTCTCTCCATATAAGCATGTTATAAGAGTCGACTAATTAGGGGTGTTCCCTTCAATGTCGGAGCAATCAGCCTGAGAGGCAAGGAAGCAACAGTCTGTATACAAGTAAGCCAGATCTGTAAAATGGATGTGCATGCAAAACTCTAGTTCTGGAACAAGACTAAAGTCGAGAAGTGGACGAACAACCAGAACTTTTTCCTGGAGTCTCCGGCTGGTAAACATGAAAAAGAAGAATAGCGGTTACCTAGAGGGTCTTTATTATTATCTTTCATTTTTTTTAATCTTCATTCATTTTATCCTCCTCATTTATTTACATCTTCAGGTTTTCTCCCAAAGCAATGGCAACGTCTTCATTGTACTGACCCTGGCTTTAATTGTGGTTGTCGCTCTCTACGCTTTATCCAAATCGTCATCACACTTTCATCGCATGAGGATCTGCAAGAACCGCTCCATCCTTCTGGTGTTTGTTGGCGTCCTCTTGGTCTACATACTGTGCTACACCACCATCTGGATGCGGGCTTTCGAGTTCTCTGGTTCATTCCACAAAACACTGCAGGAGGACAACCGATCGGGAGCTGATGGTAACGACGAGGACAGCAGTAACTTCCGACCAATCAGCTCTTAGCGTATAAATATATACATATATTGTATGTTTCAATGACATTTTCTGTCTGTAGTTTGGAATCTGTAAAAGATTGCAAATTATATGTTTCACACTATTGTTTGAACACTTTCTGTTGCGAGATTATTTAGTTTGAGGAGATGTTCATTCTTTTGACGTGTTACTTCACCGTTAGTTTTTCTTTGTGGCTTTACGTAAACTTATTGTTTTTTAGGTTTACTCAGCCCAAGAACTTATAGCATTTATTTAACAACGTTACTCCATCATTAGTTTATCTTTACAACTAAAGATAAAACTTTTTATTGTCAGGTCTACTCAGCTCAAGTACTGATAAAATGTGTTTAACAATGTTACTCCATCATTAGTTTATCTTTACCACTAAAGATAAAACTTTGTATTGTCAGGTTTACTCGGCCCAAGAGCTGGTAAAATTGTTAATAAAACTTTACTCTATTGTTTATATATTTTTATGACCTCGGAAAAAAACGTCAGGGTTGGTTTTTTTGGTTTTTTTCAGTCCAGGAACTTGTGAAATTGTTTAAATATATCATGCCACCAATAATCTGAGGGAGCCTCCATGGTCTAGGAGCTAGATGCTTGCCTGAAGGTCGTGGGTTCGGGCCCTGACAGGCTCCAGACTTTATTTTTCCCTAAGATGACCTTGACTCCCATGTCGACCCAGCCTTGAGTGGGCACCAGGTATAGTCCTGGGAAGTAAAGGTGGCTGATGTGATGATGACCAGGTCACCCGCCAAGTGCCGTGTGGTCCATAAAATATAGGTGTAGCCTTATATCCCCAGTACACCTGAAGGTGGGGAAAAGGGACCTTAACCTACCATTAGTCTAATCTCTTCTTCCGGTTGCTTCCAGGGCCCCATGTGGGGCCGGGGGGGGGGGGGGGTAGACCCACTGCTGTCCCCTAACATGTGTGTCACAAAAGGTGACTAATTTTAGGTTTGTAACTGTAACACAGCCTAGCTGTAAACCACAAGTGCCAACCACTTTTTTTTTAAGGCTGAAGACAGGCATTAATAGGGAAGTCTAAATTATGTAACTAGTTTCAAATTTATCATGGTAGGTTTATTTAGAACCTAGTAACATTTTTTTGCAAACATGTTTTTTCACTGATAGTTTACATGCGTGACTCACGATTAATTTATCATGTCAGCTTTAGTCACTCCACAAAACTAGTAAAAGGGGTGGTGAATTGATACGTGACAAGGCAGATGTGGTCAAGGCCCCTTTAGGAGCAAGCAACCGAATCGGTAGAGAAAGAAGATTAAAATGGCCTGGAGAGAATGAGGTACCTGGGTGTAACCAGGTCTGGCCTGCTCACTACACTCAGAGGAAAGGCAAGACGGACATATAACCAGATTGTGACCGGTACCATCAGTATTGGAACTCTGCGCTGGCTGCTGAAGATGAGAACGGAGCAAACATTGGAATGCCCCGAGTGCTGTGATGTCAATTCTTGACTCAATTCAACTAGTAAAATGTTTGTAACATGTAATTCTGTGTATCAGTATGACTGCTCATAGATTCATGGAGTCTGATTTATTGAGGCCAGGACTGGCAATACGTTGTAAACATGTCTCTCTACCATTTATTCATTCATTTGTTGTCCTGTTGTGCCATTATATGCCACATAAGCCTCACAGTCTATTCCTCCATTCACTTTGATATCAGCGGATGGAATCCAGCCCAGCAAATGTGGCTTCTTCCATCAACTCAGAATGGCATTTTTTCCTCAGGTTTCTGTAGCAGTCATTTTTGTACAGGGTGGAAGACTTGGGACCGGCAGTGGTTGAGATAACTCTACCATTAGTCTATCGCACAACAGGTAGATATATGTTATATAAAATAGTACAAGGCACAACAGGTAGAGATATGTTATATAAAATAGTACAAGGCACAACAGGTAGAGATATGTTATATAAAATAGTACAAGGCACAACAGGTAGAGATATATAAAATCGTACAAGGCACAACAGATAGAGATATGTTATATAAAATAGTACAAGGCACAACAGGTAGAGATATATTATATAAAATAGTACAAGGCACAACAGGTAGAGATATGTTATATAAAATAGTACAAGGCACAATAGATAGAGATATATTATATAAAATAGTACAAGGCACAACAGGTAGAGATATATTATATAAAATAGTACAAGGCACAACAGGTAGAGATATGTTATATAAAATAGTACAAGGCACAACAGGTAGAGATATGTTATATAAAATAGTACAAGGCACAATAGATAGAGATATATTATATAAAATAGTACAAGGCACAACAAATAGAGATATGTTATATAAAATAGTACAAGGCACAACAGAAAGAGATATGTTATATAAAATAGTACAAGGCACAACAGGTAGAGATATATTATATAAAATAGTACAAGGCACAACAGGTAGAGATATGTTATATAAAATAGTACAAGGCACAATAGATAGAGATATATTATATAAAATAGTACAAGGCACAACAGATAGAGATATGTTATATAAAATAGTACAAGGCACAACAAATAGAGATATGTTATATAAAATAGTACAAGGCACAACAGATAGAGATATGTTATATAAAATAGTACAAGGCACAACAGGTAGAGATATAATTATATAAAATAGTACAAGGCACAACAGGTAGAGATATATTATATAAAATAGTACAAGGAACAACAGATAGAGATATTTATATAAAATAGTTAAAATAATACAGATAGAGATATATTATATAAAATAGTACACAAGGCACAACAGGTAGAGATATAATAATTATAACAAATAGTACAAGGCACAACAATAGAGATATGTTATAATAAAATAGTACAAGGCACAACAAATAGAGATATGTTATAATAAAATAGTACAAGGCACAACAGATAGAGATATATTATATAAAATAGTACATAGGCACAACAGATAAGAGATATGTTATATAAAATAGTACAAGGCACAACAGATAGAGATATATTTTATATAAAATAGTACAAGGCACAACAGATAGAGATATGTTATATAAAATAGTACAAGGCACAGCAAACAGAAATATATTAGAATTGTGCAAGGCACAACAGATAGAGATATGTTATATAAAATAGTACAAGGCACAACAAATAGAGATATGTTATATAAAATAGTACAAGGCACAACAAATAGAGATATGTTATATAAAATAGTACAAGGCACAACAAATAGAGATATGTTATATAAAATAGTACAAGGCACAACAGATAGAGATATATTATATAAAATAGTACAAGGCACAACAGATAGAGATATGTTATATAAAATAGTACAAGGCACAACAAATAGAGATATGTTATATAAAATAGTACAAGGCACAACAGGTAGAGATATATTATATAAAATAGTACAAGGCACAACAGATAGAGATATATTATATAAAATAGTACAAGGCACAACAGATAGAGATATGTTATATAAAATAGTACAAGGCACAACAAATAGAGATATGTTATATAAAATAGTACAAGGCACAACAGGTAGAGAATATATTATATAAAATAGTACAAGGCACAACAGATAGAGATATATTATATAAAATAGTACAAGGCACAACAGGTAGAGATATATTATATAAAATAGTACAAGGCACAACAGGTAGAGATATATTATATAAAATAGTACAAGGCACAATAGATAGAGATATGTTATATAAAATAGTACAAGGCACAACAGATAGAGATATATTATATAAAATAGTACAAGGCACAACAGGTAGAGATATATTATATAAAATAGTACAAGGCACAATAGATAGAGATATGTTATATAAAATAGTACAAGGCACAACAGATAGAGATATATTATATAAAATAGTACAAGGCACAACAGATAGAGATATGTTATATAAAATAGTACAAGGCACAACAGGTAGAGATATATTATATAAAATAGTACAAGGCACAACAGATAGAGATATATTATATAAAATAGTACAAGGCACAACAGATAGAGATATATTATATAAAATAGTACAAGGCACAACAGGTAGAGATATATTATATAAAATAGTACAAGGCACAACAGATAGAGATATGTTAAATAAAATAGTACAAGGCACAACAGGTAGAGATATATTATATAAAATAGTACAAGGCACAACAGGTAGAGATATATTATATAAAATAGTACAAGGCACAACAGATAGAGATATATTATATAAAATAGTACAAGGCACAACAGATAGAGATATATTATATAAAATAGTACAAGGCACAACAGGTAGAGATATGTTATATAAAATAGTACAAGGCACAACAGGTAGAGATATGTTATATAAAATAGTACAAGGCACAACAGGTAGAGATATATTATATAAAATAGTACAAGGCACAATAGATAGAGATATGTTATATAAAATAGTACAAGGCACAACAGATAGAGATATGTTATATAAAATAGTACAAGGCACAACAGGTAGAGATATATTATATAAAATAGTACAAGGCACAACAGCTAGAGATATATTATATAAAATAGTACAAGGCACAACAGGTAGAGATATATTATATAAAATAGTACAAGGCACAACAGATAGAAGATATGTTATATAAAATAGTACAAGGCACAACAGAGAAGAGATATGTTATATAAAATAGTACAAGGCACAACAGATAGAGATATATTATAAGAAAATAGTACAAGAAGCACAACAGGTAGAGATATGTTATATAAAAATAGTACAAGGCACAACAAATAGAGATATGTTATATAAAATAAGTACAAGGCACAACAACAGATAGAGATATGTTATATAAAATAGTACAAGGCACAACAGGTAGAGATAAAATAATATAAAATAGTACAAGGCACAATAGATAGAGATATATTATATAAAATAGTACAAGGCACAACAGGTAGAGATATGTTATATAAAATAGTACAAGGCACAACAGGTAGAGATATATTATATAAAATAGTACAAGGCACAACAGGTAGAGATATGTTATATAAAATAGTACAAG